ATATATCGAGCACTCCACGCCATCAACATAGTTCGCGGATGGGAAGCGTGGGCACAAGATCTCATGAATTTCATGAAATCTTCTTCTGCAAAGTTTGCGAAGAACATGGGGTTGATAGCATTGCGTTCAATGTCAGATATCAGGTGACACAAGTAATGGTGTTTCGGCCTCACTTTGTACAGAGTTTGCTTGCGAAGCAAGCATTGCCGAGCCATCCTTTGCCAGAGTTCCAGGTGCAATTGCAGCAAAGCAGTGCCTTGAGAGGCTTCATGTCGAGCGAGAAACGGTCGTTGGCCTTTGCCGAAGAGCGACAAAGCGGAATCCAAGGACCAGAGCATAGCGGCACGAACTTGATTCCAGTGAATAAAGTCAGCATCTGCAGTCCACGGCACGGCCCGCTCCTCATTGGGTAGGATATATATATATATATATATATATATATATATATATCTATCTTTCACCATGCCATTTAGGAAAACAAGCGATATGGCTGATGCAGTTCAAGTACTACGTCAATGGCAAAGTGTGTCACAAACGCCAGCAAGTTCCTCGTTCGAGATGCTTTGATGCGTGACGACAGCTCAGGGTAGTTGGCGCTGTCCGATTTGCCCAGCGATGCCACCGTCAGCGGCTTGATGTGGACGTCCAGGCGACGGTCACGAGCCCACAGCTTGGCGCGTGCAGTAAAAGTAAACAGGACATTGTCGAACGGTGTGTCAGAAGCCATGCCCAGGAACTCATGCATCTGACCTGGACGATTCGAAAGCACAAATGATAGCAACTTCTAAACCCCATGACATGCAGCAAACAAACCCACGTCACAGCTTACCATGCTCCGAGATTCGGCTTTCCAACGTTTCCCAGAGGACACTGCCAATGAGGTCCCGCAAGATGCCCAGATGGGCAATGTGCATTACTCGGCTGCAGAGGCACCACATTAGTTGTTAAAGCAACTCTTTCAATCTCAGTCCTACACCGTTTACCAGCCAATCATACTGCAAGTGGGAAGCTGTCGAAAGCGCGTCTGTGTTTGTGAAAGCCAGGGATCACCTTCCATGGAGTGTGCTCCTCTGTGGTACATGCTTGCCTCGGTTCCAGGGTTCGTCGCCAGTTGGCAGCCATCGTAAAGTCAGCGTAGGTGAGGCCACGAAGTCTTTTCTGGGCAAGGCAAAGGTCGCAACAGTTGTTGGTCAAATAATTCCTTCTCAACCGGTGGCTGAGCATGTGGGCTTCCTGGTCACCCTTCCACCACGAGAAGATGGCACGTTTGTCGCCCATGATCGGGGTTTTTGCCCTCTTGCCCCTGAAGCTGTTTTCTGGGAAAACCACGTCCAAATGGTCGCGATCTGCAAAACATCCAGTTTTCAAGGATCTCAGGTCCCACTCAAGCACAGCCAGCACTGCCTCTCGTGTTTTGGCGCAGATGCGACTGGAAGGCAAGCCAATGAAGCAATGTCGCGACAAGAGGGATCCCTTTTCGTTCAGGGGCACAGACCAGCTCCAGAATGCCGCAGACTCATCATGATAATTTGGCACGGCGTCTTCGTGCCAGACCATGGGGTACGTCAGGTGCAGCGGGTGGTCCTTATGAGCAGAGAGGTACACCTCATCTGTTTCTCCTCAGTGTGTCGCCCACGGACTCAAGCATTTGTGTTATACGGGGGTTCAGGGGTCTGTGGCTAGATAGGTAGATTGGTCGATATGTTTTCTTTTAGAAAAAAATAAACTACTTTAAAGTTGCGGAGTTTCTGGCCCACCACTCTTCCAAGCTTCCCAGCCCCAGAAAAATTTCAGACTCCAGGCCTCGAGCGTGTATTTCATGGAAGACATCAGATGGCAGCACGAAGCAAACCTCCTCGTGAACCAAACTTCTGGTTTGATTCTGGCCGGGTCTCCCAGAGCTGAGCAGCGGCAGCTTACATCTGTATCCACGGAAAGGGAGTTGTATCCAGCGCCACATGTCTCTTTCTCTCGTGCTCCTTGAAAACTGTCGATTTGCGACACCACGTGCACCGTCACAGACAAAGGCTGCGGCAATCTTAGCGGAGTCGTGAATCGACATGGCACCAGACCCCACACGTTCTGCCAACACTTCCGCTCCACGGCCATCCATGTCGTCTGTCTTCCTGATCAGCTCTGTACAGGGGTGGCAAGTGCCAACGCCCTGAAAGAGATGTGGAAGTAATGCGGTTGAGACTCATTCGTCGATGTTGTTGCTTCCTGCAGCAACCATGCAAAATTTATGCTGAGCGTAGCTGTGGACAAAAGCATTATTGCAACTCCCCATAATTGATTGCATGTTCTGCTGGCAGCTGGCATGACCGCGGACTCCAAGTTCGGAGCTGCACTGCACGAGGTGGACGCACCGTACCTGCGACAGGATATATAATAGGACGAGATTGTGATCGATCGTGCGACGCGAGACCGAAGGCAACAACGCAGCTGTCAGATTTTTTGTCACAATAGCCGCTGAACTATAGCAAAAGTGTGTAGGATTCTGCAGGCATCGGAGCAGGATCTGTCTTGGCCATGACGACATGCGCAGCAACGCAATTTTCATTGGTATCATGGCGGCTCCCTAGAAGGGGCCGGGTCAAATTCTATTTCCTGGATTGAGGGGGCCGGGGCCTCAGCCCACACTATAGAGTAACATGGACAAGATTGCATCCCTGCCACGTCTGCCAGACAGCACCCGTGACCCGCACGACACCTGCGCTGCCGGGAGAGGAGGCCTCATGCCCGGCAGAGACGAACCAAAACAAGCGAGGGTTTCACTGCTCCTTTGGAGCACCCTTGCGTTTCTTGTTGGATCCCTGCTTATTGGCCGGTTTCATGGTCGCTGCTTTTGTGAGGCTTTCAGCTGCTTGCTTCGGCCTTTCCATATCTTGCAGCAGCAGCACGTACTGCTTCCCGAAAGGGAGGTACTGCTCCTCCACCTCCACTTTGGCTCTCAACAATGCCTTCACATCGTTGTACAATTTCCTGGCATGTGACATGCGCCACGCACACATGTGGCAGAATCGAAAACAGTTCCCTACGAGAGAAAGTATAAGTGCGAGCGGGGCACTTGAAGTTGCTCTCGGCGTTGGCCAGATCTTTCAGCAAGTCCTTGCCGTAGGGATTCGCTTCCATCTCCGTCTTCAGCTTGGCAGCCAACGTAGACCCAGCCAGGGCTTTCTTCGCCAGGTCCTCGCCCTTGTCGAGCACAGTCATGTTTTCCAGCGTCTTCTTCTTCGGCTTCTTGGGTGCTGGCGGATCTCGGGTATCCTTCTCTCCCGATGGCACACCCTTCGGATCGGCCGTCGCAGGCGTTGATGGCACCGAAGGCGAAGGCGAGGGAGCCGAGGACGATGACGGCTGTCCAAGCCGTCGTTTCAGAGCACTCGGTTCGGGCCGCCTCCGTAGCACATGTGCAAAAAAAACATGTGGTGCACAAATGCATTGGACCTGCAACCCTCACTAAATCTGGGTAGGTGGCATAAGATCTTTCAGAGCAGGCAAATCATCTCGATGAACATTCGTGCGGGCGCCCACGATCTGGCCTGAGATAACATGAAATAAGCTATGGGATTCTCGAGGGAGACTGATTCACGTCACAAACACACAATTAAAGGCACATGTCCAGCATGGGATCAGTCAGGCCAAGGAACGATCGATGTCGGAACTCCCCCAGTTCCTTCGAGAGGACACGGGCAGCAGCACTTTTAAGATGCAGCAGACCTACAGAACATGCATGAACAAAACTCTCAGACGTCGCATGATGTCATGTGGTCCTCTCTGTCTTGGAAAGGTAGAAGATCTTGGAGCCTCGGAGGTTTGGATCTTCGGCCCAATCTCCACTGGCTTCCTTCTCTTTCATGACATCTTTCGCCCGCTCTCCGTATTTCTGGATCAGTTCCAGCTCCGTGTAGGGAGCTGAATTCGTCAGCTCCTGGCTGCTGACCTCCTTCACGACTTGCCGCTCGTAGCTGCTGCACAGCTCCTGCAAGTCGCCCCCATGCTCTATGAGCTCACTGATCAAGTCCGAAACGGAGTCGTCATCCTCTTTTGCAAGCTTCTCTCTCAGGGAAGCGGGCAGGGCTTCCTGCCTTTTCGGATTCTTCCTCAGGCGATTCAGAAGCATCGCGCTCTGGCGTCTGTTGCACGCAGGCTTTTGCACCGGCGGCTCTTCGGAAGCCGGCTTCCGATCCACAGTTTTTTTTGCTTCTTCCTCTTTCTTCTCATCCTTCTTCTCATCCTTCTTCTCTTCACACGAGGGCTCCTCGGTTTTCTCCTCCTTCACTTTGGTCCATCCCAACTGTTTCTTCACTTCGTCCTCGTCATCCACTCTGGACCTCAGGGCCTGTGACTGCTGACGCAGCCGGGCGAGCTCATCCATTTTTTTCTTGTCCTCCGCTTGCTTGTCGAGCTGCTCCCTGACTTTCGCCATCGCTTCTTGCACAGTTTCTGAATCCATCTTGGACTGTAGATTCAGTTTTCGCTGAATTTCCTCCTGACGTGCTTGCTTCTCCGCTTTCAGTTGATCCAGCTCCAGCAGAAGTCGCTCCCGTTCGTCTTCGTATCTCTTCTCCTGTCAGTTTCTAGCCTAATGGTTTACAAGGTTTATAGGGGTTAGGGGTTATAAGGGTTTGGGGAGGTTCATAAGGGTTTAGGTTTAGGGGTTAGGGCGAGTTTTGGGAAGATCGGATCAGAGCGCACGTGTTGGGTTTAAATAAGTTAGGGTTTAGGGTTTCTAGGGTTTAGGGTTGTGGACATTTAAGGTTTAGGATTGATCGGCCTGGTCTAGTGGAGTCTCTTTGGCCTTTTCATTTTCTTTCTTGAGCCTGGCTTCCTCCTCCTCCTCCTCTTTTTTCCTGATCTCTTCTTGGGCCTTTTCTTCTGCCTCCTTGCGCCTGGTTTCCTCCTCCTCTTTTTTCCTGGTCTCATCCTTGGTGTTTTCTGGGCCCTCCTTGCACTTGACTTCCTGATCCTTCTGGAGCATCACGAGCTGCCGTTCCAAGTCATCCATCTCCTTCCGGAGTCTTTGTCTGGTGTTTTCTGCTTCCTCCTTCCGCCTGGCTTCCTCCTCCTCCTCCTCCTGTTTTCCTGATCTCTTCTTGGGCCTTTTCTGCTTCCTCCTTCCGCTTGGCTTCCTCCTCCTCCTCTTTTTTCCTGATCTCTTCTTGGGCCTTTTCTTCTGCCTCCTTGCGCCTGGTTTCCTCCTCCTCCTTTTTCCTGATCTCATCTTTGGCCTTTTTTTCTTCCTCCTTGCGCCTGGCTTCCTCCTCCTCTTTTTTCCTAATCTCTTCTTCGGCCTTTTCCTTTGCTTCCTTCTTAAGCCTGAGGTTTTCCTGATCTTGCTTCATGATCTCTTCCCAGCGCCTGTTGTCTTCCTCCTCCTTTTTCTGCATCTCCTCCATTCTCTTCGTTTCTTCTTCCTTGCGTCTCTTGCATTCCTCCTCATCCTCCTCAGCTTTATTCATCCTCATGGATTCTTCCTTCTTACGCAGATCCTCCAACTGTCGTTCCAAAGCAGCTCTGCGTTGCATGAACTCCTCATCCTTAATCTTCTGTTCGTCTGCGATCCGTTTCGCTTCCTGCTCCTTGGTCCTGCGGATTTCCTCTTTCATCTTTTCTTCTTCTTTTGCCTTCCGCTTTGCATCCTCCTCTTTCTGGCGGATCTCCTCCTTCAGCCTTTCTTCTTCCTTCCGCCTGGCATCCTCCTCCTCTTTCTTGCGTATCTCTTCATTCAGCTCCTCTGCCTTCCGCATGGCTTCCTCCTTCTGTCGGATCTCCTCGTTCAGCCTTTCTTCTTCTGCCTTCATCTTGGCTTCCTCCTCCTCTTTCTGGCGGATCTTCTCCTTCAGCATTTCTTCTTCCTTCCGCCTGGCTTCCTCCTCCTCTTTCTTGCGGATCTCCTTCAGCTCCTCTGCCTTTCGCATGGCTTCCTCCTTCTGTCGAATCTCCTCTTTCAGTTTTTTTTCTTCTGCCTCCATGGCTTCCTGCTTCTTCCGGATCTCATCCCTCAGGCGGTTTTCTTCTTCCCTACGCCTGCTTTCCTCCATCCCCATGCGGATCTCCTCGTTGAGCTCATCGCTGAGCCTTTGTGTTTCTTCCTTCCGCCTGGCTTCCTCCTCCTCCTTCTTTCGGATCTCCTCATTCAGCCTTTGTTCTTCCGCCTTCGCTGTGGCTTTCTCATCTTGTTCCTAGCAATGATTCAGGGCGAAAGTATGCGGGCGTTGGCACTTGCCACCCCGCACGGACGTACACTAGTCCTAGCAATGATTCAGGGCGAAAGTATGTGGGCGTTGTCACTTAGCCACCCCGCACGGACGTACACTAGTCCTAGCAACGATTCAGGGCGAAAGTATGCGGGCGTTGGCACTTGCCACCCCGCACGGACGTACACTAGTCCTAGCAATGATTCAGGGCGAAAGTATGTGGGCGTTGGCACTTAGCCACCCCGCACGGATGTACACTAGTCCTAGCAACGATTCAGGGCGAAAGTATGCGGGCGTTGGCACTTAGCCACCCCGCACGGACGTACACTTTAAGGGTGTTGGCACTTACGAACTGCAAATCCTACCTCCATTTGTTTCTTCAAGGAAACCACACGGTTCCGCAGGAATTCCTCTTCCTCCATTCGTCGCTTCTTTCTTGCCTCGACGGAAAGACCGGACGACTTGCATGCAGAGCACCTAATTCAACCAAATGCAATTGGGTCGCTTCTTCGATCTCGAAAATCATTTCGACTTTCTTGAGTGGATCAAGCTGGGCATCTTCTGAAATCTCCTGCGCTGAATTAACATCACGAGTCCAATGCATGCGGTGTCCAGACAAAAGGATACCGGGCCTTCATTTCCGCTTCATCCATGAGATCTTCGAGATCCATTTCCAGGTAATCGTTGTCAGCCTGACAGAGAAATGCACATCCAGCAACGTACACATGTTCTGACACGCATGACTGCCGCATGAAACAAGCCCACCTGCGTCAAGCCCACCTGCGTCGCCAGCGTTGCTTGGGTCTCCATGCACTGCGTCTCGCTGGCCCGAGGAGCAGGATGCACTTCGGCATCTTTCAAACCCCGGCACACAACTCGACCGATTTTCTCGGCCGAGTCCATCTGCTCCAACTTCACCCTGATGTCGGACATGTTTGAGTTTTGTTGCTAAGCTGGCTTTGCCAAGTTGTCTGTCAAATTACAAAATGTCGGACATGTCCGACATCAAGGATCGAAGCACGACCCAAAGCAAGGGCCTCCCTACGCACGGGATCCCTACAGGAAAACCAAAAGCTGCAGGTGGGCAATCGGAGCTCCATATATGCAGCAGCGAAGCACAGCCCGTAGAATGCATCATGTTCACAACAGCAATTACGCTGCCCAATGTTTTGACACAAGCGCAGACAGATGTTGCATTCAAGCGTCAAGCCATCGGATCCTGAGACGACATCCAACCAACAGCAACAGATGCCATGAAGGCAATTGGTAACGGTTTGGTGTGTTATGTACTCGAATGGATAGGAAGGGTAAGTTGCTCTATAGGGGTAACGGGTCGTAACGGGTGGGTAACGGGTGGCCCTGTTCTATTATGTAATAGACGTTTCTTTCGGTAACGGGTCGGTAACGGGTCGTTCCGTTGTACGGTTGATTGGAACTTGTTTGTGACGGATGATACGAAGCAGCAAATGCAGTCGGGTCACAGGAAACGTCGACAGTACATGAGGGTATCCGCCAGCTCCAAGTCGACATCGTCATATGAAACAGCCCGAAGTATGCCAACCTACGGTCAGCATGGCCAGGGCAACACTCTATCACAGCAGAGTTCAGGGGTAGACGTGCCACCCAATCCTTCATTTGGAGCAGGCCCATGTCACCAGAAGCAGCCAATGCGGCAATCCGACGGGACATCCTGCACGTGTCTAATGTAACACGATCCGGATCACACCGATTCATACCATGCAGCAAGGTCCCGAGGGATCGCAAGCGACTGCGATGGATCTTCCACCAGTTCGCGATGCATCGCCCAAACCTGGGTTGGCATTCAATCCTATCTAGGCCGCACGATTAAACTGCACGATTAAGCAGTCACGCAATCTCGGGCATGTGCTCGACGGGATAGTCTTGACTGGCCTTCAATCCCGGACCGCCCGTGACTCGTTCGACTCCATTCACATCATGAGTCCTCGTTGGGTAGACGATATATACAGGGGAACAAGGACACCATGCAGGAATGCCACTAGCTAAACCGAGATGCCTGCAGGTCACAGGCAGACTGGAGTGATCACTCTTTGTGAAGGACGTGTAGCTCGTGAGGGCTTCCGTGACATCATCAGCAGAATAGATCCACACAGGCTTCAGTGAATCGGCGCCCCAATTTCCCAGGTTGATGCTATACTGGCTCAGGCCACCTCTGTCCTTAAAGAAGGATATCAAATATTGCATGGGCACCGTGTTGACTATATGAGAACCTTTCGGGTTCTCAATCGTGAACACAGATCCACGCCACCATGCCAGCAAGGCGAATGCCACCGTGACACCAACGAGGCGGTTCCCCAAAGCCACGTGCGGCCTGGTGGTGTCACCTTCCGGAAAGAAGGGGCTCCTCTGATGTGTTGCAGCATTTATCCATACAAAGCTGGAGCAGACGACGCCGAGATGACATAGCGCCCCTGGCTGGGCCAGCAGGATTGCTGCCACGCCGACCAGCAAGCCAATGTTGGAGCTCAGGTCATGCAGCTCGCTGCCTTATACGAACTAGACAAGGTTCAGTTCTCGAAAATTGGAAAGACAATACATGATGTATTGCAGCATTGGTTCGATCGACATCAATGGCTTTCACATCGTAACCCATATTCCGCCAAGCAGATGCCAGGCGGGCTTTCCCAGCGAAGAATTCCAGGAGTTGCACATCACCGCACACCTCCTGACAGGAATGATAAAGGCAAAGAGGATTGGTTCTGCGTGGCAGTCACAATTTAAATTGCTGCTCCTCCGACGCACGAACTCCTGCTTTCTGCAGGACAAAGTGGAAGATCACCAGTTCCACCAGAACCTCATATCCAGGATGTTGCATGTGTGAAATCGCAAATCCGGAATGAACATGGATTTAATGTGACATACTCTTGCGTTTTTCCCATTCGCCGCAGCGCCATGCGGTTGCATCATCACGCAGCATATATAGTTTCAGCTAGCGTCTGCCATTGCAGCGTTCTTCAGGTTCCGGAGTCTCTCCAGAACCGTGCCCTCATCACCACCATCATTAAGCTCTGCTGCGGCAGCGTTCACCTGAAGCACTTGAAAAATGGGTCCCAAGAGCACGTCCGACCGAGGTTTTCCTTAGGAAGCATACATTCAGCGGTGAAAGATCCCAGCCTCATCGAAGTGGTGGCTCAATTGTATGAGCTGCTTGTCTTTGCCATTATCCAGCTTCTTCGCCAGAGCCAGGATCTGGACCACAACATGTTTGACGCATCATATGCAGCATATGACGACATGCACTGCATGTGAAGTTTATCCTGCCGGCGAGACACATCTTTTCCATTGCGACGTGCCTTCTTTGTGACGTAGGTCTTTCTTGTTTTCTTTGTTTTCTCAGCAGCCACGCTCTTCTTCTCCGCACGGAGCTTCAGTTGGTCTGCAGTGCCAGGAAGGTTTCATGGTTATGACAGCTCAAACACATGACTCAAGGCCCAGCCTGACGACAACAGCGGTTCTGCCGGTGTGCGTGCATTGTGATCTTTCATATCCTGGCCAGTCTATAAGGTGACTGATCCAACAGGGCAAGGCATGCAGGCATCATGGTTTTGGGGGCAGCAGAGCTTCCTTTACGTATTCCGGTTGTGGTGTGTATGCCACCTTCGAAGCTGCCGCGAACTGGTCTGGCTCAGGAGCGGGGTCTGCCTGGTGCAGGCAGTCGATCATGTGTTGAACCCTCTGGAAAGAATTGTGTACGCCACCTTCGAAGCTGCAGCGAAGTGGTCTGGATCAGGAGCCGGGTCTGCCTGGTGCAGGCTAGTCGATCATGTGTTGAACCCTCTGGAAAGAATTGGGTATGCCACCTTCGAAGCTGCAGCGAACTGGTGTGGATCAGGAGCCGGGTTTGCCTGGTGCAGGCAGTCGATCATGTGTTGAACCCTCTGGAAAGAATTGTGTATGCCACCTTCGAAGCTGCAGCGAACTGGTCTGGATCAGGAGCCGGGTCTGCCTGGTGCATGCAGTCGATCATGTGTTGAACCCTCTGGAAAGAATTGGAATTCAATCATGCGGCCCCAGAGGCCGCAGCGGGCTTGTCGGTCGAACTTCCGGCCGCCGCGGGCTTGTCGGTCGAACTTCCGGCGGACTGAGATAGAGCGGCCGGCGAAGGAAACAGCAATACATTGCGCAGACACACAGAAATCCAAATGAAACCTAAATGGCACAACTCGACTCAATCAGAGGCCAGGAGCTGGCATGCGGGCACCTTCATCGTCCGAACAAAGGTCCAGGAGCTTGTTTTCTAGATCCTATATACATAGCAGCAACAAGACCGGTGACATGTGGCCCAGGAATATACACAAGCACATGAGTCGACCACCCAGTCCTCCATGACGCGCTTCCTTTTGTTATCCAGTTGCTTCTGCAACTCGATTCTTTCTCTGTCGCCTTCCTCGAGCTTCACATCGAACAGCAGGTCATGCTCCAACTCGGCCTCGGGCATCGCGGCGTCGTCTTTGAGCTCTTGAGCTCCGTCCTCCAAGAGGTCGAGAAGCTCCAGCAGCTTCTCATCATAGGAGAAGGCAACGCTCGGCCACTTTGTGCTGCCGCAACGCGCTGCAAGAAATTTCCACGACCGCCGAAGCTTCCGCAGCGCCGATACCATCGCCTTCAAGTCGTACGCCAGGGTTTCAACGATCACCCCCGGCATGATCGGCAGGAGCACACTCGACAGAATCTGCACCATCCTGAGTCAGGAATGTTCAATCTCAGGCAACACAGCATGCACGATCTACAGTTTGAGCTGAGCATCGACTCACCACTGATGAGGACCTTGGGCTCGCAGAGCAGGAGTGGCTTCAGGATCCAATGATGCTCCTGATCGTCTCGAGAGACAGCGAAGCAGACAACACCCCAACAAAGAGAGGAATAGCAGAACTCACTTTCGCCGGGGAGCAATCAGAAACTCGCGAGCGATGGTCCCTTTCAGACTGGCCACCTTCTTGAAGATATTTTGAGCATCTTCGATCACCTTCGGGATGAAGTCCAGGGGCACATTATTCTTGATCTGATCAACCACAGCGGACAGCTCGTCCGCTTCCAAAGTCCGCTCGACCATCCCGCTTGGCCGACCCATTCTACTGGTTTGCTTAATGTGCACATCTGACAAAAGCTGCATGCAGCTAGCTCTACTGCTAGAGATACCTGTAGCTGAGTCCTGGAATCCAGGACCATGCACAGCTGCATGCAGCTAGCTCTATACTGCTAGAGATACCTGTAGCTGAGTCCTGGAATCCAGGACCATGCACAGCTGCATGCAGCTAGCTCTATACTGCTAGAGATACCTGTAGCCGAGTCCTGGAATCCAGGACCATGCACATTCAACACCATGCTGCAGAGCCATTTTGCATCCAGTGTATGCAATCAACAAAAGTGCAGCATGCAGCATGACTGCCACGGAATCTTTCTAAGTGCAAACGCCTATTGCGAGCAAGGAGCCCAAGGAAGGCCAAGAAAGACCATGCCATATATTTCCCTCATGTCATGGAATTCCAAGCGCTCTAGGCACTTTTCAACCAGCAGCACATCTGGAATATATACCATGGCTCTGAGTCCAAGGCGCTGTGCGTAGACCAATTTAGATATTTCAGAGGCTGATCCATGTTGCCCAGCAGCCCAACAAGAATGATTTACATGCACGGCACATACAATATGTTTTAGCGGCCAGAGTTATTGCTGTATGAACGGCTTCCCTAAAAGGTGCCGGAACGAGGTTTATGCTTACGTGATGTCACTTGACTCGAGCAATCCGAGACACGATTTCGAGCATCCATGATGCGTGATCGCACAGGCACAACAACAAAGCCTCACAGAAGCAATTGCTGGCAAAGCGAGGGGGCACTTGCTGAGCGGACGGGCCACATCATTTGCTTCTCGTTCTGTGCACAGGCGCACACGTT